GGGCTCACCCCGCTCTTCACCCCCTTCCCCCGGCCCCATGCTCCCTCTCTGGATGGATGGGATGGTCAGGCCCCCGCCCAGAGGCTGGATCGATGTCATTTCTAAGGAGGTTTTTTGTTTGTTTGTTTGTTTGTTTGTTTGTTTGTTTGTTTGTTTGTTTGTTTGTTTGTTTGTTTGTTTGTTTGTTTGTTTGTTTGTTTGTTTGTTTGTTTGTTTGTTTGTTTGTTTGTTTGTTTGTTTGTTTGTTTGTTTGTTTGTTTGTTTGTTTGTTTGTTTGTTTGTTTGTTTGTTTGTTTGTTTGTTTGTTTGTTTGTTTGTTTGTTTGTTTGTTTGTTTGTTTTTTAAGATTTTTTTTAAAGGAGGATTTTCGTAAGGAGGTTTATTTTTCTTATTTTTTTATTTTTCAATTTTAAAAGGAGTGTTTTTGGTTTTGGTTTTGGGTTTTGTTTGTTCTTAAACCAGGTCAGAAGGTCAAATCTTCAAAGTGCATGCAAACTGCTCCTCACAGTCTGGTGGACTGAATGTTCGAGAGCATGTCCAGGAAGGCCTGCCCAGATGGTGCCTCCACATTCTGGAAGGTGTTCTGAACTCTGAACAGGATGACTGCCGAACAGGATGAAGTATTTCAGCTCCTGCCAGATGAACCCCAAGTGGTTCTCATCGAACAGGATGAAGACTCCAGGGAAGCGCCCGCGGTAGGCTAAGCCAGTTAAGGTAACAGTGTCCACGGCATAGAAACACACCCTGCAGGTTCGGGGGTAGTTCTGGTCTCTTGTGCGCATGCCAACAGGCAGAACAAACGGAACAGGCTGCTCCTCCGAAGCTGCAGCCCCGGACTCCCCGACGCTGGGCTGGGCAGGGCTCTGCCAGCCATGGCCCTCGCTTTCCTCAGTCCCGTCTTCTTGCTGCTGCTGCTCCCGGATCACCTGCTTCTTAATCTCCTGGACCACGCAGGAGAGCTCATTGAAGTTGCGGAAGAACTCGCCATCTCGAAGATGGATGTGGCGCATGAGGTGGATCTCTAACGTCCAGATCAAGTCTCCCCTGATCTCCCTTACCCTGGCATACTTCCCATGGAAGCTGAGCATGGCAATCTTTCTACAGAAGCCATCGTATTTGCTGTGGAAGAGGCCTGGTCTGATGAGGTCGTCCGGGTGGTGTGGCGGGAGGTAGAGGCGACGGTAGGTCAGACAGTCATACTGCTGTCTGTCCTCTCGCACCAGCACCCGCCCCCATTCTCCCCTAAGCCGCGCTTGTAAATCCGTTCTGTGGTCTCTCTTGATCCACTGGATGCTGAACCTGTCCTTCCGAATCTGCATGTGGCAGCTGTGAGAAAAGCTGTAGAAGTCGTCCATGTACTCCAAAGTGGCTGATTTCCTCTCTGTCAGGCGAATTCTAAAAGAGGGCTTGAATTGCATTGGGTCATCCACATTGGTGTTAAGGCAAGGCCTGTTCATCCAACCAGTAATGCATAAGCCATCCACCGCTACATACAGGAGTCTTCTATAGTCATCATCTGGCTGCCACAATCCCAAAATATTTCTGTATGGGTGGAACAGCTTCGCATAGACTTCTCGATAAGACATACCTATCGTCTCCAGATTCTGCAAGGTTTCACGAACACCATACTCCTCCCGGCAGCGCCGTCTCCAGATGCTGTCGATGTGCAGGATGTGGTGGAATTTGGTGCAGGCCTGGGCCAGGCAGGGCAGGTCGGTGCCGGGGAGCAAGGCGAAGATCTTCACTAGTAGCTCGGGAGGCAGGTCCTGCAGGGAGTAGCGCAGGGGCGGCATGGGGCTCACGATTCCTCCACTCCCCGCACAGCACCGCACTGCCGCGTCCTCTTCAAGGTGCTTTTCTGCCAGGGCCGGAGTGCCCTCGGCCGCTGCCATCTCAGCTGGGCCCTGGTACTCCTGAAGACACCGCTTGCCCTCAGCCGCTGCTGACTCAGCTGGGCCCTGGCACTCGTGAAGATACCACTTGCCCTTGGCCGCTGCTGTCTCAGGTGGGTCCTGGTGTTGGGGTCCAACCCCAGCAGGTCCAGGGGTCCCCAAAGGTGAGGATGGAGTCGGCAAAGAAGGAATGACACAGAGACAGCCTTCAGTTGATCAGCAGCCTAGCCAGGATCTCTAGCCACGATCTCTAGCCAAAATCTCCAGCCAAGTTCTGGTGTTTATTGTCTTGTTACATCTGTATTTATACCAGTTGATTTTAATCCTGTCAATTTCTATTGCAAAGGTTAGGGCGTTTCTTATCT